ATAAGGATAAGTGGAACAGAATGGATGGATGGATGGTTTCGCCAATATCGGCCTGCCAAGTGCTAAACTTCGAGCAAAGCGTTGAGCAGAGACCTCTCTCCCATATGCCGTCAAACCCTCTGTTTCCAAGGGAAGGCCAATCAGATAAAAGCTGCCATAAAGGGAGCGAGGCCCTGAAAAGAGCAGGCTGTTAATACATTTTATTTCAGAGGGAAAGCTGGAGTGCTGCGCCCTCTACTCTAGCAGAGTCTAAGATTAAAAAATAGAGGTTAAAATAAGCAAAAGGTCCCTCTAATGCTAAATCATTTGTATGTGAAGTTGAAAAGCTACAAACTAATAATAAGCTAAAAGTAAAACACAGAAAGTCTTACTTGATATGAAGTGGATCAGCTGTGGGAGGAAAAAGGGGAAAAAATAGAAACTTGGAACTTTTTACTTTTTTCCCTTGAAATATTAAATGAAAATTACTATTTTTTTTTAAAGATATTTGCAAGAAAAACTTTTTACTATGGTCTGAAATACACATATAATCATTTGGAATTATACACCAGCTGTAGGTGGTTACTTACATAACTCACTGAGGGCTTATACGGAAAAAGTATTACAAATCATATGAAAAATATCAAATGCTGTTAAACAGCTGTGGCCTATAGCTGTTATCAGATTAAGGCAGTTGAGCAAAAAGTTTATGATTTTGTTCCCTGTTGAAATGGAAATATTTACATACTTTAGCAGAGATGGAGCACACACTTCTGAAAAGCCATAAAAGCCATGAAACAAAGCGCGAGTAAACCTCAGTCGGTCGCCCCGTACAGTGGCTGTGTTGACCTGTTTTATAAATCTACTCCGTTTAATTCCTTTAGTCGAACATGCAAACGTTAGTGTAAAACAAATGAGTCAGCTTTAAGCCCCTCCTTTAGCTCATGCCTGTGTGAGAGTATTCACCATCTGCCCATTATAAACATGGACGTTAAGGATTTGTCGAGGCTTTGTATGTATACGTGGACACTATCCCATTTCCCCAGCTGCCTCCATGGTATGGGACATTCTGTTGTCGTGCAGCACCTGTTCACATTGTCAACAAAATAGCTGAAGAGAAACAAATTATGCAAAAAGTATTTTTAAAGCATGATTGCACGCTTTGATGAATGATTGAATTTTTTTCAACCCACATGTGGTTCAAGTATGGAAGCTGAGGGTGGAGAGCTAACCACCAGCCCATTTGTGGGCATCGCACGCTAAGCTTTAGTTGTGGTAGAAACACAACAAAGCCAGAGGCAGAGAAAGGCAGAGAAAGAGAGGAGAGCTTGTTACCCTTGAGGGCCTCGGTCCTATCAGTCACTGTGCCACAACGATTCGCCCTGTAACTGATCCGTGGACGCCGAGTCTACAGGTCAACTGTGACAGTCTGCTTTGTGCGTGTGTGTGTGTGTGTGTGTTTGCATCTTGTGGGTTTGTGTGCGTGTGCATCTGCATTCTGTCCCTCGATGCCGGGGGCTGTCGCTCTTCATCCCCTGCAGCAGAATGCAGAAACATGCATGTAGGAGGTGCGCATGTGGTCATTCGCTGCTAACGAAATGACATGCAGGTAGAAGCACGGCGAAGGGCATCATGGGGTTAGGCATGCAGGACAGCAATATGTTGCCACAGCAACAGTCAATGAGACTTTGTCCAAGTGAGAGGGAGAGGCAGGAGAGGCGGAAACAAGTCAAAGTGGAGCAGTTGCCATAGCGACTTCTCCATTGCAACTGCTTGTGAATTTCTCTCTCGCCGGTGTGAGTGTGTCTGCCTGACTGATGCGCTGGTTTTAGCGCCATAGCTCTGTATGGATGTGTCTGTGACACCCTAGTCTATCACTGGAGATTTACGGTGCTACATTTGCAGCCACCTTACATACGTCTGTGTACTTAACACGGCATCTACATATATATAAGCAGCTTTCAAAGAGAGCTGCACGCCCTCCATCTCTCCTGCCTTCTATAATAGATGCAGTAGTGGTTATTTATGTGGTTATTCGCCACTACTGTTTGCTCATATCCTCAGGCCTGCACGCACACACACTCGCAGACACACAAACAGAAGCCAACAGGGGCTGCTGTCACTGTGCCACTCCTCTGAGTCTTCTGTGCCATATGCTACCGTAGGCTCCTGGCAGGCAGGAGCGACGCTGCTCACAGTCAGCTAGGAGACTGGTTCAAAGGCCAACGAGGGCCCATCGGGGACCGTCCTACGTGCACGCACAGCGCTGCAGGAGAGGGCGTATGCTGAAAACTCTCAGGACTAACATTGGATGCTTTCTGAAATGAGCTGCATGAGTTTCTTAGTGGAGGATGCCAGAATTTATCATCATAGCTTCCCTGAGCAATCATAGAGTTTAAAGGGCACCTGTTATGCTCATTTTCAGCTTCATATTTTTATAATTAGACTCCACTGGAGTAGCTTTAAGTGTTTTATGGTTCAGAATAGCCTTTATTCATCTTTTACCAGGTCTTGGTGCAACCTGTCAGTTCATCCAGTGTCTGAAACTAACCATTTTTGCTACCTTTCCAACGTTCCTCTGATTGGCTACCCTTTACAAACAAAAGATCTGAACAGAAAGTGGGTGGGGTCAAAGAAGTGTTCTGTTTGGGAGGCAGGCCTCAAGCTAGTGGTAGAGAAATCACTGTGTCATTGTTTGTATTTTTTGTTTAATATGAGCATCCACCACTGTAACAGTATATTATATGTATATATCATCATATATTATATATAAGAGAAAATAAGGAAATAAATAACACAGTAGGTCTACATTAACTGAATACCTTCAGCTTGCCTCAGAAATTCATGTTTACAATATATTGCAGAGAATATGTTTTTAAGTACTTGTTTTCACATTTTTAAGCATTATTATTTAAGTTAGTGTTGTCCAGGCAACCTAGTGGCAATTAACCTATCCCCACAACTTAGTTTAAATCACTATAGCTAATAATCCGGTTGTTCAGTGATGACGCGACGAATCCTACTTCCGGGCCTAAAGTAGTCTGCGTTTAATATGGCTTTTGTGTTGTTAACATGTTTAATGTTTTGTATTTTCTTCTATTTAATCTCAAAAAGCTCCTAAAACAGTCAGTGATCCCTGTTGACCTCCCTCGGCTTTTATTACCGCTAATCATTTATTTAAGCTCAGTTTTTAAAACCTTAGGATGTAACTACAGCCCAGCCCATGCAGCAGTATATGAATGACTAACCTCGTATTGTGGATGGATTATCTCAGTTGTTCTCCTGGCTGAAGTTTGGTCCTTTTACAGCATCCAGCCATGCGATTACATTTGTTCCTGACCACCGAGAACACTCACGTTAACTTTTATCCAGTGGAAAAAAAGTTAGCTTGTTTATATTATGCTAACATAGCTGTGTCGCTAGCGGTCACGTAGCACATCATTATATACCAGTTAGCCAAACTTCAGTAACCCTACAAACGTCACTGCTGTTTAGTTTTCTGTCTTCATTTATGTTGGAAGTGATAACAGAGCTGTACGTTTTACTTTGTTTCCAAAACCCTGCAGTCAGGACATGCTATATTATATTTAGATAGAAGCTAGCGAGCTAACTTCCTGCTAACTTCTAACTCCGTTAAATGTCATAAATTCCGTTTTCATGGATGCCTGGATGTTAAACTCAATTGTTACACCTGGTAGAGCAGAACGCTGATCATTTTATTAAAGATGAAAGACTTTAGACAGTTTTTCAACTCTCAGTAATGCCATAGTGATCGTTTGATATATGGACCTGCAGCGGAGTTTAGGTCCAGACACGGCTAGTGACGTCAGACTGAACAACCAGATAGACAGATCCTGCCTCCAGTTTGCACATTTATACTTATTTTCAGTAAAATAAATACAGAAAACTTTACGGGAAGCAACTCTCGAGCTAAACTTTGTTTTCTAATGTTCTTGCGTAACATTTTCATGGGTAACTTTTTAGCTATCTTTCCATTTTTCACCTCCAGGCGGGACCCACCAACAATTTGTGCCAGTGCAAAATGATAGCGTCCAAGAAAACTGTGTTCTTCTAGAGATTCCACACAGGGGAGTTGACCTAGAAATAGGTTTCTATAGCTGTCTCTGCAGCTCAAGGCGACTTGAAATTTGCATTTATGGGGGTTCCGAGTTCCAAGGTGCAAAATAAAATGAGGAAATTATGGAAATTTATTGCACACATGATATATTGAGAGCCAGTGGCCTTTTATTTTGTGTTGATTGCGCACTGAATGCTCTTCAGAGGGGAGTATACAGACATCAGCTCCACTCCTTTGGGGCCCGGCTTTGATATGTTTCCTAGTGTCATCCTGGTACCTTCTTTTTTACCTTCTGTATGTTGTGCCACATTGCTTTGAGTGTGTTTACTAGAGAGTGGCTGTTTGAACAGTGTTAAACATCTCTTCTCTGCAGCAGAGAGCTCTTTGGGGTGAACTCTGACACCAACACGTTGAGCTACCCCATCATAAGAACTGTTGTGCAGATATTCTGTGAATTTATCTGGACATTCTCTGTTGAAACTAATTGCCTCAGGCTGCCAACAATTTTCAGTTGCACACACAGATGCTTTTGCACTGCGCTAGGAATTGCATCAGTTTTAGTCAATCTGGGCCTCAGTGTGACGTAAAGACTGATGCACGACAGGCTCTAATGTGAAGCACTACAGTAGCTGGTAATTTTCTTCAAGCCTTTTTTTTCTCGCTTTAATCACCAGGAAACATTTGACAAGATTCTCACGGTGGCGCCTCTCGTTACTGCCTGTTGTTAGAATCATTGGCTGAAATCTAAATGAGCTCAAGCCCATTTTTAAAGGTTGGCATCCAGCCGCAGGAAGTAATGCAGCACTGATCCAGTGCTGTGTTTTCATCACGCTGCAGTTTGTTCCATATACTATGGTCTAACACAATGTCTAATCATAACTGTGAATGCAGTCATTGACTTTTTGTTCTTTCACACTCTGTTTTTCCCTGTTTGTGCATGTAGATATCCGTGACCGCAGGAAGAAGCCGGTGATGCTGTTTATTCACGGCGGCTCCTACATGGAAGGCACAGGAAACATGTTTGATGCCAGCGTCCTCGCTGCCTACGGCAACGTGATCGTGGTAACCATGAACTACAGGCTCGGCGTGCTCGGTGAGTGGCCCTCATGACTTTTTCATGCTAACAGATTTGCACCAACAAATAGCTTAGATTTATATTCCATATCTCCCCAAATGCTGAGCTAAAAGAACGTTTCTTCTTTTCTCTAAACTGAGTCGATGATGGGTGACATGAATAGAATCCATCATTGTAATGACAACCAGTCCAGGGCCTGATCGTTACAGCTCACTTGCTTATAGATTTCCCCTCACTGTCTAAACACCGATTGTGTAATTCTTTAATTTTCTTTGAATACCGATGGCCTTTTTTGTTTTTGTTTTTGTTTTTTACAAAACTTTTGCATTGTAAACCCTTTCTTGGAAACAGAGGGAGCTGAGATGAAGACACTAGCCAGACTCGTTCAGCTGAAACACACCAGAAAGGAAGTTTGGCTTGTCTTTACCCAGTGTGCAGTGTGAATAATAGGAAATAAAAAATGTTACAATTCAAGCTTAGTTTCCATGGTATCCCTTGGTGATGGTGCCAGGATAGATCACGATCATTTGGTAAAGTTGTGGATAGTATTGTGGTGGAGCCTGATACAATGGCACTGGAAGGATCAAAGTATAAAAATGTGCAAAGACTCCTTGAGTGTTTATGGTTAAGTGCTGAAGTCTAAACCAGGTTGAATCAGGAGGACTGTAATTTATAAAGATGTGCACAGTTTTATCCATCCATCCATTCGCTTCCACTTATCCTTTTCAGAGTCGTGGGGGGTGCTGGAGCTTATCCCAGCTGTCATAGGGCGAGAGGCGGGGTACACCCTGGACAGGTCGCCAGTCTGTTAAAGGGCTAACACACAGAGACAGACAACTTTGGTGATTGATCAGTTAACCTATCCCCACTAACTGCATGTCTTTGGACTGTAGGAGGAAGCCGGAGTACCCGGAGAGAACCCACATAAGAACATGCAAACTCCACACAGAAAGACCCCGGCCTAGTGGTGGAATTGAATTCAGAACCTTCTTGCTGTGCGGCAACAGTGCTAACCACCATCCCACCGTGCCTCATGGTCCCTTTTCTCATAAAATAGAAGAACGCAGAATAAGTAGAATGAAGAGCAGGTAGAAGAGAAGGTAGATATGGTTTTGCAATGTATTAATCAGAAGAATTTTACTTTCAAAAATGTGGTCGAAGACATATATGGAGCCATAATCAGCAGTGACTTATTTTAAGTTGGGAGGAATGAAGCACATGGCTTCATATGCACTAGATTTCTCCTAAAATTAAAAAAAAATAAATCTTACCTTAAATCGTGTCTAGATTTGTCTACATAATTGTTTCCCAACCACTGTGGATAGGTGTGCCATGAGAAATAATCAGGTGTGCCGTGGAAGATTATCTGGTTCAACCTGATTAGTAACGGGCAGATTGATTATTTTCTCTTCCACTAGAGGGCAGTACAACTACCTGCTCTCATTAAATGGGTTGCCAACTGCCAATAAAACAGAAGAAGACGAAGAAGAAATTACATAATAGTCATGCTGTGAGTGAGACGACAAAGCGTGTAATAAATAAATAGATAAATATTTGAAAAGAAAACGTAGTCAGTCTGACCTGGATCCTGGAGAAAATTCCGACCCAGATGAAGCCCTGGCATGAGTAGTGGTCAAAAGAAAGCAAAAAAAGTATACTGGGGACAAACCAAACCAATTCCACTGTGCCTGGTGCGCAGGAGGAAAATGATCAATATCCTTTTTGTGACATTTTTGTTTGGTGGTGTGCCGTGTGATTTTTCTAATGTGAAATATGTGCCGTGGCTCCAAAAGGTTAGGAAACACTGGTCTACATAGAGCTAAAGTTGAAGTGCTGCGAAAAACTGTTTACACCCTTCCTGACTTCTTTTTCTTTTTTGCTTACTTATTATCCTTGCGGCACTATGTTAATAAGTAATTGCCCTCTAAACCTAATAACTGGTTGTGCCATCCTTGGCATCAACAGCTGCAATTAAGTATTTGTGATAACCGGCAGTGAATGTTTCACAGTGCTTTGGAGGAACTTTGGCCCACTCTTCTTTGTAGAATTGTTATAATTCAGACTGAAAAGTATTAACAGACTGCTTAAGGTGATACCAAAGCATCTTATTTTGTTTGGTTTCTTTTTGAGCTATTCAGAGGTGGACTTGGATAACCCAAATGCAACCAACACCTTCAGAGCACAATGATGGTTGGACATTGTCCTTCAGAATTTCCTGATACAGAGCAGAATTCACGTTTCCCTCAATTATGGCAAGTCTAACAGGTCCCGAGGCAACAAAACAGCCCAAGACCGTTACACTACCACCATGTTTGACTGCTGGTGTGATTCTTGTAGCATCATGAACTCTGAACTTGACTGAGGCAAGTGAAGCCTGCAGGTCTTTAAGTATTGTTCTGTGTTATTTTGTGACCTGATGAGTCATCAGTAGACTCTTGGAGGAATCTTGGTAGGCCAGTCACTTCAATACTGGAGTCCTAAAGCCTTAGAAATGGCTCTTTTCAGACTGATAATAAAAGTCAGTGACTTAGTATGTCAGCTTTTTCATTATGTGGTGGCATGATTTGTTGCTTTGTGAGATCTTTTAGCTTACTTACTTAATTCTCGTACTCTTGTCACCATACATCCTATTTTTTTATTTGGCCACTGAGTCCTGCATTGCCAGGAAGTCTATTAAACATAGGATTGGAAGAAGAGAACAAGCATGCAAATCATATACAGATGTGGCATTTTTACTGACGTGGAAATGCACCTCACAATTCCTCATTTTAACTGCACGCCCTCGCCCAGAACCTCCAACTTTCAGATGACTGTTTTGCAGATGTATAATTCATTCCACAGAGAGTAGGCATTGTAAAAAAAACAAAAAAAAAAAACAAACCTTTGCGGAGTATTTTGGTAGGGGAAGGTTTGGTTATGATGCACTTTTGAGCTGTCAGTACCAGCGGCAGCACTGAGGGAAAGTGAGGGATTTGGAAAGTGGTTAAAGTGGCTTTACAGGCCCGGTGTAGCACGCTGTAACCTGTCTGCTCAGTTCACTGTGAGATCTGCCAGCACACTATTGTCTGCCACCTCAGCTCTCCAGCACGAGCGCGTCATCCCTTTTTTGAAATACACTCGACTTCTCCTCTTTGTTACCGCACTCTGTCTCGCTCCACTGAGACCAAGTAATTTAGCTTGGAGAGGAGGAACATGCCTCTAAGGAGGCAGGTGCTAACTAAAGGAAACTAAGTGCTTTAGATATTTCATTAGCCGAAGAGAGAGCGGGCTCCTGGAAGCTGTTTTAAAATAGGCAGCCTGGCTTTGATTTGTTTTGTTTCTTTCTTAAAGGATGTTGCTGTGTTGTTTTTGGAGCATTTAAACCGCCTTTACTGCGGTGACACATTTTCATTTGCATGCAATTACCTAAAGTGTTTGCTTTTCAGTGCTTCCCTATTGAATTCATCAGCATTTTTTGCTACAGTGAATAACAGAATGCAATATGAAATATCTATTAAAGGACTGTTAAAAGGCTTTTTTGTTGCTTTTGTTATTGTTGATTGCTGCTATCTATAAAAGTGTAATTCTTCTCATCAAGTTAATTGTTACAGAAAAGTGCTGGTAACGAGTTTGTTACTTTGTTAAGAGTGACAGTTTTAGCCAAAATCTAGCCGCTGTGGTTTAGAGTCAGCGCTAGTGTCATTCTCCTCCTAAAAGTGCTGCCACCAGGGTTGTGGAGCTGTAATTAGCTCCAATTAGCTTGCAGGTGAAGTGGTGCTCATTAGCAGCCGGCACACACTTGTTATCATACAGAATATTGTGAATACTACTGCAATGCCATGGCTATCCTGAGTGCTATCACGCTAGCTAACCTGACTGACACAACTGTAAAAGTGTGAAAAAGGTATTTTCTTTTTTTTCTTCTGTCAAATTGAAATGATTGAGAAAAACATGGGAGCATGCTAGTATTTCTCATGGTACCAGGTAGTTTATTTCATGTTTACAACATTTAATGGAGAGGAAGCACCAAATCACAGTTAGCTTACTTTACTCATCTTACCTCTGTTAGTCCTGAATTTGTGTCTGGAGGTAGTCGAATATCATCTGAACAGCTAAACTCATTGTAAATTACAGTATATTTGCCATATCCTTTTTTCCCTTTGAAACTGATGTAGTTATTTGAGCTATTTTTATAGCTTTAACAGCTAATGGCAACAGCAGGCTACTGAGTAAAATGTTGAAGAAGTAGAAGTACACTGTCACTGTTAATAAAAGAACTGAGAGGGTAAAAGCAGCAAGGCCCTGCTAAACAAATGTACTTGATTTCCTTGACTTCCTTAGAAGTGCATCAGGAGTGAGGACCACTATAAAAGAAAAATTTGGCAGCTTGTTGTTAAGCGCATTCAGGTTTGTGTTACCACAATGCCACAGAGGAACCTTATCAACAGTTGTTATTGCCCATCAGTCTGTGTGTCTGTTACGTGGCATTAATAATCAAAGCAAGCAAACATGTGAGAGATTGATAAAGTCATACAGAAAGCAGTTACTAAATAAAAGAGCTTTTCAATCATTGTGTGTACTTTTGTTTAACCATGGCTGTATATTAGCCAGCTTAATGCTTATATTTTTGTGTATGTATGAAAAAAAATCCACAGTGCTTAGGACCAGCAGTGGATCAGTTTAGACCAGATGGACCACCAAGCTTGTAATAGACTGGCAGAAACCCTGTTTCTGAAAGGAAAAGCAATTCTAGCAAAGTTCCAGGTTAGATGAACTTGGGAATAGAAAGCAAAGGCTAGTTTCCTGTTTTTCTCAACATAACAAGGGGATTGGTAACTTTTCAGGCATTAGGTTTCTACCTCCAGACTAAAACCTGGCTACACTGTTGGCTTGTTAACTTGTTAATTCGTGCTCCCAGCGCTCTTTGATTTGTTTTTATCAGTAAGATGTAAATAGTTTTTTTATATGTGGTCAACGACAGCGTCACATATCTGTTAGTACTCTTATAGAGCAATGCTGTATGATAGCTCTGCATACTG